TGATGTTCAACCATTTCAAGAGGTAGCATATGATCAAGAGCCAATGATACTGAAGGGAGAAGTCCCTGGTGCATTGAAGAAATTGGCAAAGGTACTGATGAAATAAAAATTGAAATCTTTCAAGAAAGTGAGGTGGCATTGGAGGCACTCACTCATCTATGTCAAGAAATTTGGAAGACAACTATCTGGATGATTGATTGCAAGAGATCTGTAATTTGTGCTCATTCCAAAGAGAGGTGACCCAACGGAATGTGGAAATCATCGGACAAATTGGCAAAGAAGAAGTAAAACTCTTCTTTTGCAGATGATACAATCCTATACATAGACAATCCTAAAATTCCCGTCCCTACCAACCAGTGCACTGAGAAAAAAAGCTTGATCCTTGATATGAACAATCCTTCCATTTTAGATGGACTGTTGAGCAACTGCATCCATAATCAAAGGTCCGTTTCATCAAATTTTAGCAATTTATATTTTCTCACAGTATCAAGCATCTGTATCTTCATCTGGTTGACTTCTGGTCAGCTAGCCATCCAAGCAAGCTAGGTCACATGAGTACTAGCTACAAGTTTGAGAGTTTATGTACGCCTCCCCACACTTCAGACCAGTTGGCCACTTCACTCTCATCTCTACTCCCCAGTGGCTAGGTCAGTGCCCATGGACTTAGGAATTCACATATCCTCTTAAACTTCAGACCAGCCAGCCCTTCCTATTCTCTCTCTCATGTCAAGGTCAATGGGTGCCCATGGAATGTGGCCAAACTCTGCCCATACTAGAAAAAATGGGGGGCTATAAGGTAAGGCACTAAGTGGCTGGCTTACAAACTTTCATGAGTGTGCTTAGTTTCAGAATGAGGCAGGTAATGTAGAATCACCACTGAAGAGTTTTCCTCTTTTCCAGATAGATTTGGTGGAAGGGGATGGGGGGTGATGCTGATAGGATTTTCTGACTCAACTGTGAGTAACTATTAGCAGGATGAATTGAGATTGTCACAACTGTAATTGTAGAAGATGTGTAACTAAAAGAGGGGAGTAGTTTATCTTTCATTGTAGGAACAGAGGCTGTCAGGACCATCAAGAAGGAAGAGCATGAATGGAGCATGAGATCCTACCTAGAAAGATGGTGACAGCAGAGCCAGTGGCAGAGGCTATGGCATGGAGAGACAGAACAACTTCAGGCTCTAGGCTCATGGACTGAGAAAGGCTGGAGGCTCGCTTGCAAAATGTGTCCTTTGGACATTTAAATGAATATACATTTTTTTTGCTTTATATGTAGATATCAAACATTTTTGCTTTGTTCATTTATGAAAAATAAGATATATTTTTCGTTTATAAAAAAAAAAAGGAAAGCCACCAGGATTAAGCAGGGTAACTGTTGTTGTAGGGAGGGGGTTCTAATCATTTAGATGAAACAAAATGTATGATTTGTTGAAAGTAAAGCTGATGATCTTGTCTGTTAACCTTCACTTAAGACTTAAGTCACAATGAAAAGTTAGAAGAAGAAAAAAAAAAAAACTTAACAGTGGTTTAATTTAATTAGTAAAAAAGGTCTGTCTTGAGCATTATGGTCTTTTAAGAACTACCTATGTGGGATCAAACTGACAACAGTAGCTTGAAAGATTAGACAGATAACTTAAAGGAAAAATCTGCTAGTGGGGGCGCAACAACTCGAAAAAGGAGGCTGAGAATGGTTGCAAAAGTCAAAGAATATAATCCATGTCACTAAATTGTACACGTAGACACTTTTGAATTGGTGTATGTTTCCTATTCTCAATGACAACTTTTTTGTTGTTGTTTAAATTAGTAAAAACTTACCCAAATACAGTAAAAAAATTGTTCAGGTAAAAATAAGTACAGGCTCAGAAAGATAACTGTTATGAATAAAATTTAAGTATTTAAGGTTGATTCTTGGTAATGTTTTTTTTTAATCAATTAAAATCCAAAGTATACAAAGTATGGAATAAACTGTTATAAATTTATACTATAAATGCCTTTTTAATACTGAAGAAATTACGGAAACTCCAAAATACAAAATAATCTAAAATGTAATGGGAGATATCTACATCTTCTAAAATGGTGTATTGTTATTGATTGAGGAGTTCTCAGGAAGTCCTGGAGTCCTGGTATGGCACTGTTGGGTAAGCAATGGTCTGCTAGCCACAAGGTTGGCTATTCAAATCCACCAGCCACTCCACAAAAACACTATACAGAGTCACTAAAAGTCAGAACTGACTGGACAGCACTTAACAATAATAACAAAGGAGTCCTGGTGTGGGGCTGTAGGATAAGCACTGAACTGCTAACTCCAAGGTCAGCAGTTCAACCCCACCAGCTTCTCCTCAGAAACCCTACACAAGGTCGATATGAGTAGGAACTGACTTGAGCACCTAACAACAACAATGGCAGTGTAACACCTCTGAAAAAAATTAAAGGAAATTTCATTACAGGGTAGAAGGTTGCTGGGAATTGATGAAACCAGGACACTGGGAGAAAGTCCCTGGGACTGACCCCAAGATATGGTCTACCTGAGACTTGGCCAGTTCCAAAAATAGGCAAGGATCTAGGGTGAGGTGAAAGAAGAAAACGTGTTGTCTGAACTGCCTGGGTGTCAACAAACTGGAATTTAGGCACTGTACTTTGTACTCCTAATTTCTCAAAGGGGAATGATATACCTTCTCCTCTCTATTTATCTGCCCATTACAACCACCAACTCTGTCCCCCACCCTCTCTTTTTAGCACATTATCCAAACAGGGAGTCTCCTAAAGGTACAACTTCTGGAATACAGAATTAGGATCCAAGAAATCAAAACTACATTTCAAAGACACCTGAAATGTAGTTCACACAGGCTTCTGGGACTGGAACTGTGAGTCCTGTCCCATGGGAGACACCCCTGCCTCCTTCAAAGCAAATGCCTTAAAGGGCGGGGACAGAAGACAGAAGAGGTCAGCAAGGTCCCTGATTTGGTGATTAAGGTTATGACAAAAACTATCAACTTGACTGAAATCCCTCTATATGGGAGTTGGAAGAAGAGGGGGCGGGAAACTGAGTGATTCTCATGCTGGGGCTTCAAGGTGCAAAGGTGGTCAGATAAAGGTTAAGAAATCCAACCTCCTGAGATTCCAGGCAGGGCCTGCGGCATCTTGATCTTGTCCCTTGCACCAACTAAAGTCGTGGCAGCACGCGCAGGCACGCGCGCGTTCACACACACATCCTCTCCACCCCATCCCCAAACACCAGGTCAACATCCCCATCCCATCTAAAGTGGACCAAGGACTCCCTCCCCATGACCTCCACCCTGCCCCCTCCCAGCCGAGCTTCCGCGCCCTCCTTCGCCTTACACTGAATGGGCGGGTAACAACTGGGGTCTTCGCCGCCCGGCTGGCAGCGGCTGGAGAAGGCGCTGCGCGGGGTCACATAGTTGCTGGGGAAGATGCCCACCCGCTGGTTCAGCTGCCCGGTCCACCAGCCTTCGTCGCCTGACACTTGCGAGTCCTTGGACAGCACCTCCACCACATCGCCCAGCCGCAGGGTCAGCTCGTCCTCGCCAGCCGCCTCGTACTCGAACACAGCCGTCCAGAAAGGCAGGGGCTCATCAGAGCCCAGCTCCTGGGGAGCTGCCGCCACCGCTTCCTCCTCTTCCTCTTCCTCCTCGGCCCCGGTCCCCGCTCCATCTTCCCCCGGTGGGGCGGCAGCAGCGGAGCTCGCCAGGCAGCCGAGAAGCGCTCTGGGGGGCTCCATGGAGCGGCCGATCCATAGAGTGCGGGGCTGCCGCCGCCCGCAGGAGCCGCCGCCACCTATTGTTCATGCGGCTCCGCAGAGCTGGGGGGCCCCCACCCCCGACGGCGGCGGCAGGTAGGGCCGGGCTGCAGGGCTGATGCGGCGGGCGGGAGGCACGCAGAGCGTGAGTGTTTACCGCAGCCTGGAGCCGGCGGGTCGAACCAAAGGCCGCCCGCTTCCCCGCCGGCACCTGCCAGCCAGTCGGTACCGCCGCCGGTGCCGCTCCCCTCTCCGCGCCACGCCGCGGCCCGCCCCCAGCGCCGCCAGCACGCCCGGGCCACCTGACGCGGCCTGGCTCCGCCCCAGCCCTGGCGGACCGAGGGGCGGGCAGCCCGGTCCCGACCCGCCTTCGTGCCGGCCGCCTCCCCATTGGCCGCGGCCCACCAGTCCCCAGGTTCCTCGCGCGGTGCAGGAGCAGCCACGCCAGCACCCGGCCCGCCCCTCTTCGTCCCCACCCACAGCCCCTCTCGGGCTCCTGTTTCTCAAATCCTGGGTCGACCCATTTCTCTCTCCCATTGGCTCGACGCAGGTCCAACCATTGACCCAGGATACCTGTTTGTTTCCTGTGCGAAGTTCAACATTTCCCGGCGGGAGGAGGCCCAGGCCTCAGGGGTGCGAGACGAGGTAGATCCTGCCAGGTACTATAGAACATTCATTTCCACTGAAGAGGCTGGGCCCTTTGTTTGCGTTTGATGAGTAGGAGCTCCGCTGGGGCATCACCTATATTCTTCATCCTAGAGGGGTTATTGAAAGTGAGAAGAAGCGAGCTGGGTTCCATCCCTATTTCCTCTCCAGCTCCCTCTTCTTGCATTCTCTTAGGTCTGCGGTTGCTCTGGTTCAGACTGGTGGGTCTGCAGTGTCATTTCCTGCCTGGCTGAACTTCACCGTGCCCCCGCACCACCACCACCACCCCCAACCCCTGCCCCGTAACTGTTCCTCTCC